CTATGTTATAGGTTGTCATGAGGATTTGATGATGCAATACATGTAAAAATTTTACCACATGTGACAGGCACATAGTAAGACCTCAATGCATGTTAGCTTCTATTAGTAATAAAAATACTTTTATCACCACCATATTCAGGACACGTGAACTCCCCATTATAATAAGGCTGTAATCAAGCATAGGCTAGTGGGGAAGCTGCAGAGAGGACTAGAGCACTGAGCATATAATTGGACTGAGTGACTTTTCAGGTTCCTGCTTCCATTTTTGAGATTATGAGCCTCTTAAGAGAGCAAGAGCATGGGAGAGGGAGAAAAAAGGGAGGGAGCAGAGAAAGGCAGAGAGAGAGAGAAACTGCTCTCCTACTGGCACATACTTCCTGAAATTTTTCTTTTTAGGGCAAAGAACTAATCTCTTGATCCCTTGTTTCTCAAATCTTTAAGCCTTGTTCAAGAACAGTGGATCCACCAACCAAAGGGACAAGAGTTACAGCAGTGGTGACTGTGGCCTTATAGTGACCCCTCATAACTCACAAAATATCCACCTGCACTACACTACTACACATTGGTTTAAAGAATAACAGTCATAATTTTGATTGCAAGCTTGCAGTTAATCACGGCAAATTGAATACATGCATTTATCTTTTCCCCCCTAAAACCCTACTACAATAACTGGAAGAGAATAAAAGAAGATATAAAACCACGGAGACAACAAGAACAAAGGCGACAACAGCAGGTAAGAGACAGTAACAACATTTTGGAAGATGGAAAAAGGACAGAAAAGTTAGTAACTAATTTGCAGAGCAGAATCTGAAACTTGTGAGGATGGATAGCTAAGAAGGAGCAGACAGTTTGTGCTGCAGGTTCTCCAAAGGCTCAGGAGCTGGAAGCACCAGGTGCCTCTGAAGGTGGGAATACCAAATGGGGTTGAAAACTGGCAACTTATTTGACAGTCTCAATAGACAACAGTTAGGCCCCTTCCTGCTATAGCAAAAGCCAGAGGTTCACTCTCTGAAGATGCTGTGGGGAGTCTGAAATTAGGACCTCAGGTTCGGCTGGGGCAAGGTGGGCACAATGCAGAATATGAGGGATTATGAGAAAGTCAGCCAGTGGCATGGTGAGGCCATTGGGACCCTCCCCCAGTTTGACCCCCACATTGCTGACTGCCTGACTATCCCCTCAGAGACTAGGCAAAGTAAGTAGCCCACCCCAAAACACTCCAAGTCCTGAAGCAGGCATTCCTCACTGTAACAACCTGACTACCCTGAAATGAAGCCTACCCACTGATTTGAGGAAAGCCCCTAACATAAAAGGGTCCACTGCAAAATGCACAAAGGAGCCTAGAGGAAACAGATTATTCAGGAAGTAGAGAGAAACCTTAGAAAACAAAAAACTATCTTCAGAAAAGGAAGATAATACATGTAGGAAAAAAAGAAAGGATGTATTAAAAAAACACATGCCAGGCACAGTGACTCACACCTGTAATCCCAGCACTTTGGGAGGCTGAGGCGAGAGGATTGCCTGAGCCCAGGAGTTTGAGACCAGCCTGGGCAACTTGGCAAGAATTTGTCTCTACAATAAATAAATAACAAATTAGCCGGTGGTGGCACATGCCTGTGTGGTTCTAGGCTGTGGTGGCTGTGAGCATGCCACTGCACTCTAGCCTGGGCAACAGAGTGAGACTCCAACTCAAAAAAATTAAAAAATAAAAAAGAAGAAATCCTTAAAAAAATTAACAGAGGAGAAAGGAGTTGCCATTGGAATAAAATCTCCCAGAAAGATTAAAAAGGAGAGAAGAGCTGGCTTGGTGGTTCAGCCTGTAATCCTAACACTTTGGGAGGCCGAGGTGAGTGGATTGACTGAGCCCGCAGGTTCAAGACTAGCCCAGGAAACTTGGCGAAACCTCATCTCTACAATAAATCAAAAAACTAGCCGGGTGTGGTAGCACACGCCTGTAGTTCTGGCTACTTGGAAGGATCACCAGAGCCCAGCAGGTCGATGCTGGGGTGGTCGCGAGTGAGCCTCCAATTCAAAAAAAGGGGAAAAGAAAATTAGAAGGTTGAGTCATACATAGGGTCCAACTTGTGACAATAAAAAATCTAGAAAGAGAACAAAGAAAACAGAAGGGAGAAAATTAATAAATAATACAAAAACATTTTCCAGAACTGAAGCGAATTTTTTTTTTTTTTTTGAGTTGGAGTCTCACTGTCACCCAGACTGGAGTGCAGTGGCCGCTCCGGCGATCCTTCCGCCTTAGCCTTCCAAGGCGGAACTATAGGTGCGCGCTACTGTGCCTGGCTTATTTTGATTTATTGTAGAGATGAGGTCTCGCCAAGTTGCCCAGGCAGGTCTCGAACCTCTGGGCTCAGGCAATTCACTCACCTCAGCCTCCCAAAGGTGCGGAATTACAGGCTGAGCCACCGAGCCTGGCTTTTTTTTTTTTTTAAGTTGGAGTCTCACTCTGTTGCCAAGGCTGGAATGCAGTGGCATACTCACGGCCACTCCAGCATTGACCCACTGGGCTCCAGTGATCCTTCCGCCTCAGCCTTCCAAGTAGCTATCACTCCCAGCTAATTTTCTAGTTATTGTAGAGACAAGGTCTTGCCAAGTTGCCTGGGTTGGTCTCAAATTCATGGACTCAGGCAATCCACTCATCTCAGCCTCCCAAAGTGCTGGGATTACAGGCTGAGCCACCAAGCCCGGCACAAAGGGATGTTTTGATTCAAAGGGCTCACTAAGTAGGAGCAAAATGTGGGAGGTGGGATTGGCAGTAATGGGAATCTGCCCAGGGAAAGAGGGGCACACCTCATCAACAAGGGTACCTACATAATGAATATTTGTGTAACTAACCCTGAATTGTACCCCATATCTTTAAAATAAAAACTTAAAAGCTAAAAAAAACAAAACAAAATGAATGACTACAGCACAACACCAACCACGTTATTATGCAACGCATACCATACACCAACAAACCACACCATCCATGTAAAGACTCAAAGCAAAACAATGATCTACACAGCCATCCTTTAGTGGGGTTTGTTCCAGGACTCCCCCACTTTTTTTGAGTTGGGGTCTCACTCTGTCACATAGGCTGGAGTGCAGTGGTGTGATCCTGGCTCACCACAGCCTTGAACTCCTGGGCTCAAGTGATCCTTCCACTTCAGCCTCCCAAGTAACTGGGACTATAGGTGTGTGCCACTCTGGCCCACTAATTTTTGTATTTCTTGTAGAGACGAGGTCTCACCATGTTGCCCAGGCTGGTCTTAAACTCCCGGCCTTAAGCGATTCTCCTGTCTCGGCCTCCCAAAGTGTTAGGATCACAGGCATGAGCCACCGCACCTGGCCACTACTGTATTTTTGATCTGTGTTTGGTTGAAAAAATTCTGCTTCTAAGTGCACCCATGCAGTTCAAACCCATGTTGTTGAAGGATCAACTGTACACATAAAACTAAGCTAACAGAAGGGAGGCAATTATTCACTTCATTTTTTAAAAAACCCAAAACATTGTACAAGAAAGGAATGAAATCAGAGAAGACTATAGGGTTCAACTGGGAAAAAGAATGACAAAGTCATAATAATATATACAATAAATAATGAATTAACCAAATTGTGACATTGAAGAATGCAGATGGGACATATATGAGTGGTGGGTGGGGTTAAAAGGGACAAATGCTCCATGGGAAGAAGTCAACAGTTGATATCTAAAGTTGAGAAATTGGCTGGGCACAGTGATTTGTGCCTGTAATTCCAGCACCTTCAGAGACGGAGGCAGAAGGATTCACTTATCAGTGAATCAGTCTAAGAAGAGTGTCACCTGGATGGTAAAAACAGTTCCCTGTGGGCTCCAGAGAAAGGAAGAGATTCTGGGCCCAGTTTCCACCCTAGACCAGCAGTAAAGCAGGAAGCATCCATGTAGCATGGAGCACCATGGGCACCCAAGCCTAGTTCTCACTTGAGCCACTGCAGGAGAGCTGGGCAAGACTGGTGCAAAGCAATGCCTCTAATGGCTACCTAGGCTCCACGCCAGCCCCCACCAGGGCAAGGGGGTACAAATGAATGGCAGTTCTTATGAAACAGAGCTTCCTGCCTTATTTTATTTTTAGCTCCAAGGGGACAGGAGGGCCCCAAACACCATTTAGAGGGAGGAGTAGAAGTAAGTGATTAAGAGCTATGGTTCTGGAGCCAAAGAGCCCTGGGCTTTTACCCTGATTATATCACCTGCAGGCAGTGTGACCCTGGGCATAGCAGCATTGAGCTCTCAGAGCCTCTACTTTCTCATCTGAGGGTGAGGATAACAACAGTGCTTCCTCAGAGGGTGTTGTGAAGACATACCAGAAGATGTATGTAAAAGCCCCTAGAACACTGTCTAGTACACAGTGAGTGCTTGAATGTTATTTACTGACAATCCTCTCTGAATGGGCTTCTCAAGGAAGCATCAGCATCCCCAAATGAGGCAGGAGGAGTGCTAGGTCTTCAGGCTCCCATGGAGCAGATAGCCCTTCTTCTGGGATCTATGCCAAGGCCAAAAAAGAGAAAAAGCTTCAGACTCTAAAAATAGCTCAAAACAACTGTACAGAGCAGTCAGCTCCTGCATGTGCTGCTGCTGTCCTCTGTGGGTAACACACATGGTATTCATGGATCAGCCCTGCTGTCTCCTCCCAGGGTCACCTCCAACTCTACAGCCCAGCACAAGCCACCCCTCAACCTGGCTCTGAAGAATCACTGCAGCAGCTGTAATACTCACTTGGCATTTGGCACATACTGCCATATTTGTCTGTGGATATGCCAAGACTTCAACTAAACTGCAAATTGAAGAGCACAGGCTATTTTCTTGCTTATAGTTCCCATATTTCCTGGCATTGTATCTTACCCATCGCAGACACTGACATGTTCCTGGAACTATCGGACGGTGCTCTCAGTGAAGTGCCCCAGTATGACAGTGTCCTTAATGTTCACTGGTTTATCTAACTGAGAGCCCAAGTCTTCTCTGGGATCCCACTCACCTCATCCAGCTGTCTCTTCGTCTCTTCTTCCATCCTTCGAATGTCATCCATGGTCAGGTCAACCCACTTATCGAGCCAACAGAACAGCTGCCTGTGAAAGTTTGTAAACAGACGCCTCTCTTGCTATAAAAAGGAGGGAACCAAGTTAGAACTGCTACAGCCCTCCTCCCCATGATTGCCTACACTTTACTGGGGAAGTGATGCCTAGCTGGCTTATCTGGATCTGCCATAGTTCAGTGACCTTTGCTTTCATGTGTCTTAGCAGGTATGGCTTCAAGTAGGAGGAAGCCCCCAAGAAAGAATGGGCCCTTTGCCCAAAATATGACCAGGACAGGCAGCCCATGAACTCCTAGGCAAACCAAAGCGCCAAAACAACTGCCAAATTTCCTCCTTATCTCTAGTGCCTAATGCCAGATTAAAACTGGCCAGCAGCTATGAAATGTGACCCAAGAGTGAGGATTTAACACATCAGATTTAAAGGCTATAAACCCCTTAGGTCTGCCTGGTAGAGCAATTCAGGGCACTGGAGAATTTGGTTCACAGTACCTCTTGTTTTCTGCCTTCAAGAAAACAAAGATCGATTGACATGAAGGTGGTTTTGTCAAAAAAAGAAAACAAAGATTGGGCTTTATGTATAGCTCAGTTATGGCAAGTCCCTTCCCGTGTCATTCCTTTGCCTTGGTTTCCTTTGCCTTGGTTTCCTTCCGTTACCTATGGTATCCCCAGATAGACAGCGTTAAACTGAAATAGAGTTAAGTGCAAGAGGAAGTGGGGGGTCTAGGAAACCAAACTGTGAAGTCTTCTAATTCTGGCAGTCCTACAATACGGGTCATGTGGGTTGCATGGTCTTCTCTTGTTGGGCAAAAACACCTCACCAACACACACACAAGGAGGTCACCGGGAAGGCCTCACTCTGGTTACTTACCTTATGTATAAAGTTTTCCACTTTGTTCTGCAGGCCCCACCACTTGAACTTGACAGTAACCAGTTTGTATGCACACATATATGGGCAGTCTTTCTGATTTACAAGTTCTTGCTGCATTGGAAACATACCCACAGGCAGGCCAGTAACTAAGAGGGCAGACCTCAGGCTCTTAGCTCAATCCCAGCCAATCCTCTCCTCCATGCTTGGGGAGAGGACCACCCACATTGTCTCCAGCCCCCTGGCGATGAGGATATACCTTCCAATTTGGGCCCAAGGGTCCTCGGCCCGTTTTGATAGACTTAAATTTTGCTGGGTCTTCCTCTGCCTTGTAATCCTGAGGAAAATTGTGGTAATGGGGTTGGAGGAGAGAGGGAAGAAAGAGAGAGTGAGAGGGGGGGAAAACAGATTTTTCATTAGAGTACACTTCATACCAGTTTTTGATGCTGGCGCATAGCAAATAAGGGAAAATGTTACCAGCAAGATGTAGAACTGTTTACATTTGCCTCAGAGAAAGTTATATGTGATTTTCTCTGCCAGGGTTTATTTTCAACTTTACCAGTATGAAAGTACCACCAGATTGTCTGAGCAGGCATGTATTTCCAATGTTTAAGATAGAGATTTTCAACCTGGGATGAGCATCCAAATCAGCAGGGAAGATTTTTTTCAAAATACAGATTTCTAGGCTACCCCACCTAAAAGCCAGTGAATAAGAGTATCTGCAGGTGAGAGCAGCATGGATTTTTTTTTTTTTAATCTCTGCAGGTGGTTCTGAAATATAGCAGAGCTAAGAATAACTGGCTGCCATTCCTGAAATCTAGTGCAATCTCCCTCTGGCTTGTTTTAATAAAATCATTATTGGAAATGTTTAATGTATAGTACCTATCCACTATTGGTCATTCTCACTTCACTGATTTATAATGCAGTCAATTCTCCATGTTAATTAACCACAACAAAAGTTTAATTTTTCAGCTGTCCCTCTACATTGGTTAATGTGGGCTCAGGAAAAGCAAACTCATTATAGTGTAACCAAAATAATGAAGATAATAAATCTCTCTCCCTCTCTCTCATATAAAGTATTTCCTAAAGCTAAGGAGATTATTTGTGTGTGCTTTAAAAAACTAGATCTTCCTAACTGTTTCCCTTCATTCAAAAAGAACAACCAGAACTGACAAAACACTCATAGAACCATACTTCTGCTGGTATTCTATTTGAGAAATACTTGGGTATATTAAGTTTGAGAAAATTCATCAAGCTGCACATTTAAAGTATATTCACTTTGCTTTACACGCTGTACTTCAATAAGAAGTCTTTTGAAAAATCCATCAACCTTTTGAGTGTGAAGGTAGAGATATCAAGCAAGGAAGTGCAAGATGGTTTTTGTATCTTTTTGGAAATGCACAAATCAAAATATCTTAAGCGCACAGGGACCACAAAAAGAGTTATCACATCTCTGGGATACAAAGAGCAAACACTCCCTATCAACGGGCAGAGAGTTACATTCCTGTCTCTTTTTTTTTTGAGTTGGAGTCTCACTCTGTCGCCCAGACTGGAGTGCAGTGGCCGCTCCCGGCCACCGCAGCCTCGACCTGCTGGGCTCCGGCGATCCTTCCGCCTCAGCCTTCCAAGTAGCCGGAATTACAGGCATGCGCTACCATGCCTGGCTGATTTTTTGATTTATTGTAGAGATGAGGTCTTGCTGCCCAGGCGGGTCTCGAACCCGCGGGCTTAGGCAATCCACACATTCCTGTCTCTTAATGCCAGCGAAGCCTCTGCCCAATAAGAACAATAATGAATGAGGTGAAATCTAATCCCCTCATTCCCTGAACAAATACTTTCTGGGAGCAACAGTGAGCAGCAAGCAAGACAGACCTGGGTCCTGTGCTCACCAAGTTTATGGTCTAGCAGCAGACTGTCCTTTTCCAGGCCTCTGCTGTAATGTTTGTTACTCTGAAAAGCTACCACCAACTTCTTGAGGGCAGGGGACCTGGTTTTTCATATATTCTGCACTCCTCACCTGGAGCCCAGAAGACCTAAGAGAGTATTCTAAACACAATAGGCAGTCAATAAATGTTTTTAATTACTGGGTTGGAAAAATATTAGAGAATTAGTGCTGTGATTTTTCAGGCTAGGCATCATTTCAGCAGGACAAAATACCTGACCTATAGTGCATTCACTGTCCAGTAATAATTTCTTTTCTTTTCTTTTTTTTTTTGAGTTGGAATCTCACTCTGTCACCCAGACTGGAGTGCAGTGGCTGCTCCCGGCCACCGCAGTCTCGACCTGCTGGGCTCCAGCGATCCTTATGCCTCAGCCTTCCAAGTAGCTGGAACTACAGGCGCACGTTACCACGCCTGGCTAATTTTTGATTTATTGTAGAGATGAGGTCTCGCCAAGTTGCCCAGGCGGGTCTCGAACCCGCGGGCTCAGGCAATCCACTCACCTCAGCCTCCCAAAGGCACGGGATTACAGGCTGAGCCACCGAGCCCAGCTAGTCCCTGGTTTCTTTAGATGTCATTTCTGCATCTCAAAGTCCACTCACACCTTTAATTTTAAAAAAATTTTGCAGTTATTTATTCAGTTAATATACATTTATAGAATGCCGATTCTGTTCCAACCTCTGTCTCTACAAAGACAGAAATGATGGTTTTACCCTTCAAGCAGCTTACTTTCTGGTTAGCAGGACAGGCAGAAAAAAGATGACTATAATCCAAACATCATACAGGCCCCAGTGGCCTGCAGATTCTAGCAAAACCTGGACACTAATTATCCCAAATTCCAGTTCTTGCCCCACAAAGTTTCTTTCTTTTTTTTTTTGAGTCAGAGTCTCACTCTGTTGCCCAGGCTGGAGTACAGTGGCACGCTCATGGCTACCTCAGCCTCAACCTATTGGGCTCAGGTGATCCTTCTGCCTCAGCCTTCCATGTAGCTGGAACTATAGGCATGCATCACCATGCCCAACTGATTTTTTGATTTATTGTAGCGATGAGTTCTCGGCAAGTTACCTGGGCTGGTCTTGAACCCAGGGGCTCAGGCAATCCTCTCACCTCGGTCTCCCAAAGTGCCAGGATTATAGGTGTGAGCCACTGCACCTGGCCAAAGTTTCTTTCAAGTACTTCTGGCTGTCAGACAAAGCAGTAGGGCCATAGCCGCTGGGCCCATCAGCCTTTCTTGGAACCCCGCTGCTCCTGCCCACTGCCTCTACCAAGAGTGCTTACTGTGGGAATGCCTGGTGATCCTATGGGCAGGGCTGGGACTATAATGAGGCAGGCAAAGGGCAGGCCTGAAGTAAGCAACTCCTTAGGCTGTGCTGGCCCTATGCTCTCTCTGCCTCCGCTGCAACAGCCCTGGAAAGAGGGAGAATTCCTACATTAAGTCATCTGGGCTGGAGCAGCACTGCTAGTGCCTGTGGTGTGAATTCTACTGTGGACATGTTGAGTTTGAGGGACCTCCGAGACATCCAAATGAGGATGATGGGGATGCAACTTGCTTTCTGGATTTTGGAACTCAGAGTGGAGCTAGGGATCTAAATTCCAGCACCGTGAATGTGGTGGAGGAAGTACAGGCACAGGACCAAGCTCTGCTGAACTCTCAACATTTAAATGCCCTGCCCCCACTCCATCTAGCCACTACCCAAAGACCCAACTCTCCTAACTCATCTCAGCAATTGGTCACTCCTTCCAGTGCATTCCCACAGCGTTTTGTGCAGTCCTCTATCACAACACTTTTTTTTTTTAATTATTATGAGTTGGAGTCTCACTCTGTCACCCAGACTGGAGTGCAGTGGCTGTTCCCGGCTACTGCAGCCTCGACCTGCTGGGCTCCAGCGATCCTTCCGCCTCGGCCTTCCAAGTAGCTGGAACTACAGGTGCACTACCATGCCCAGCTAATTTTTTTTAATTTATTGTAGAGATGAGATCTCGCCCAGTTGCCCAGGTGGATTTCGGATTCGCGGGCTCAGGCAATCCACTCACCTCAGCCTCCCAAAGCGCTGGGATTACAGGTTGAGCCACCAAGCCCGGCCTATCACAACACTTTTCATGCCACACAGTAACTTGGTTTACTAGTTGTCTCCTTCACTAAACAATGAACTCCTCAAGAGCAGGGAGTCCCTTATTTCATGTTGAATTTCTGTTTGCCTGTTTCTCTCCCCCTCCCTCCACATATTTGGTACCATGTAGATATTTAAAATTGAACTACATTCTTGGAAGAGAAGCTCTTCTGCCCAGGGCTTAAGCCCTTTATCTCCTGGGAACTGGCTGCGATGCAGGGGAGGCAGGTGGGGATTCCCCATCTGGGGAGATCATACCAGGCAAACTTCAGTATTTCTGGCCACTCCGATAGGGATTCATGGTACATATGCTGTAGCCTCAACAACTCAGTGGCCTCAGAGATTACCTTTAAGGCCCTCACATCTTTAAATAGTTCCTACCTTGCTAAGTACTTGGCTTCGATCTGCAATGTCTATATATATGACTTCCACATGTTTCCATGTCTCAGGCTCCAGTTTATGCACCTACAGGAAGAAGAGGGACCACTGTGTAGTTTTTTTGTCAGCTATAAGGCACCCTTTACCCAGAATGGACCCCTAGGAACAGCTATTCCCATAGCCAATGACATGAAAGTCCTACTGGTAAAGAATTATATATAAAGTTAACCAAAGGAATGAGATAAGAGATTTTTTTTCAAGACCTGGTCTTGCTATGTTGCCCACACTGGAGTACAGTGGCTATTCAAAGAAGCAGTTGTAGGGTATTCCAGCTGTAAACTTCTGTCTCAGCCTCCTGAGTAGCTGGGATTATAGGCAAATGCCACCATGCTCAGCTGGATTTTAGGTAGACATAAATTTGAAAAAAAATACTGATTTTTCAGGCTAAGTATTACTTCTGCATTCTAGTTACATACAAACATCCACGTGCACAGACTTTTCTTTTAATACAAATAATAGTACAAATACATACTGTTTTGTATCTCCCCCCCCCTGAATACTTTCAGTAGGATTGGTATCAGCTCCTCCTTTTTTTTTTTTTTGTAAGCCAAACAATATATCTTGAAGATTGTTCCCTAGTGGGTCTTTTTTTTTTTTTGAGTTGGAATCTCACTCTGTAGCCCAGACTGGAGTGCAGTGGCATGTTCTAAGCCACCGCAGCCTCGACCTGCTGGGCTCCAGTGATCCTTCTGCCTCAGCCTTCCAAGTAGCCAGAACTACAGGTGCACACTACCACACCCAGCTAATTTTTTATTTATTGTAGAGACGAGGTCTCGCTAAGTTGCCCAGGTGGATCTCTAACTCGTGGGCTCAGGCAATCCACTTGCCTTGCCCTCCCAAAGTGCTGGGATTATAGCCTGAGCCACCGAGTTCAGCCTTAGTGGTTCTTTTTTTTTTTTTAATTTTTATTTTTTTTAGTTGGAGTCTTACTCTGTCACCCAGACTGGAGTGCAGTGGCCACTCCTGGCCACCGCAGACTCGACCTGCTGGGCACCTGTGATCCTTCCGCCTCAGCCTTTCAAGTAGCTGGAACTACAGGCGCGTGCCACCACACCCGGCTAATTTTTTGATTTACTGTAAGATGAGGTCTCACCAAGTTGCCTGGGCGGGTCTCAAACCCACAGGCTCAGGCAATCCACTCACCTCAGCTTCCCAAAGCACGGGATTACAGGCTGAGCCATCGAGCCCGGCTCTTAGTGGTTCTTTTTAATGGCTGTGAGTATGCCACTATTTGTCTGCATCACAGTTTATTTAATGTTGTCCTTCTGATGAGTTCCTTGTTGTTTCTAATCTTTGGCTACATCGAGAATGCTGCAATGAATCTCCTTATATATATGTTATTTCACATGTGTGAAAATAATTGTCTAATATATTCCTGGGAGTAGAATTGCTAGGACAAAGGATAGATGTATTTTAAATTTTGGAAGTTATTGTAAATTGTGCTCTACAGAAACTATAATTCTGATATTTTAAAAATACAACTTCTCTGTGCCAGGAACTGTATTTTAGACCAATTTAAGCACTATGAGAAGAACCTATAAGGAGTCCTAGAGACCACCTTTTGCAATTCAAAGACAGAACAATCCCATGCTATAAGTCAGGTCTACACGGAGGCCACTGTCTTTCTGGCCAATCATAGGGGGATCTCAGAGAGGATCCCATGGCAGGGATGGAGAAGCAATGGGGCAGAGCCTAAAGATGCTACCCTGGGCCTGGAAGACCTTGAGGGTCTTGGGAAGTACTACTCACATTCTCCTGGGTGCCAAGATCTGGTTTGTGCCAGGTTTCAATTTTAATCAGAAAGTCTTCTTTCATATACTCATTCTGGAAGAGGAAAAAAAAAGACAAAGTCACCAGGCTTGCAGTTAGAGTAACCATCTCCCAATTCTGGATCATGGGCAGCTGGGAAACAACAGCCTCTGTCTTATAATAATAGCTAACTTAGCCGGGCTCAGTGGCTCAGCCTGTAATCCCGCGCCTTGGGAGGCTGAGGTGAGTGAATTGCCTGAGCCCGTGGGTTCGAGACCCGCCTGGGCAACTTGGTGAGACCTCATCTCTACTACAAATCAAAAAATTAGCCAGGTGTGATAGCACATGCCTGTAGTTCCAGCTACTTGGAAGCCTGAGGCAGAAGGAAGCCTCAGCAGGTCGAGGCTGTGGTGGCCGGGAGCGGCCTCTGCACTCTAGTCTGGGTGACAGAGTGAGACTCCAACTCAAAAAAAAAAAAAAAAAAAAAGCTAACTTGACTGGGAGCCCACAATATGGCAGGCATGCATTATTCCAGTCAATGCCCATCCCACCCTGGGAGGTCTGTAAAGTCATCCTCATCTTATACATGAAGAAAGTGAAATTCAACAAGGTTAGGAGACTTAATCAAAGCCACAGAGGTCATGTGAATCACAACAAATCATGTGAATACACAGATTTTGACTTCAAAATCTGTGCATTTAGTCACTCTACCATATTTTTATGTGCAGTTAATAGTTAATTAGCATGGAAAGAGTACAGGAAGACCTCCTAACCCATCAAAAATATTCACTGGCCGGGCTTGGTGGCTCAGCCTACAATTCCAGCACTTTGGGAGGCTGAGGCAAGTGGATTACCTGAGCCCATGGATTCAAGACCTGACTAGGCAACTTGGCGAAGCCTCATCTCTACAATAAATCAAAAACTAGCTGGGCAGGGTAGCGCGTGCCTGTAGTTCTGGCTACTTGGAAGGCTGAGGTGGGAGGATCGCCAGAGCTCAGTAGGTCGACGCTGGGGTGGCCATGAGTGTGCCATGGCACTCCAGCGTGGGTGACGGGGTGAGACTCCAACTCAAAAAAAAAAAAAATTCACCATGGTCCGTCTCCCCCCATCTAGCCTTTTGCTAAGGCCTTAAGTTCTCTTCTCAACAGTTCAACCCTTCATGCTAATGATTGTCTCCCACCCCTTTTACCTAAAAATTGGAACTAGGCCAGGTATGGTGGCTCACACCTATAATCCCAGCACTTTGGGAGGCCGAGGTGAGAGGATTGCCTGAGCCCACAGGTTCGAGACCAGCCTGGGCAATTTGGCGAGACTGCATCTCTACAATAAATCAAAAAAATTAGCTGGGAGTGGTGACACACACCTGTAGTTCCAGGTACTTGGAAGGCTGAGGCAGAAGGATCACCTGAGCCCAGCAGGTCGAGGCTGTGGTGGCTGTGAGCATGCCACTGCACTCCAGCCTGAGTGACAGAGTGAGACTGCAACTCAAAAAAAAAAAAATGGAACTACTTAAAGGAGAAACATATTAATGCATGATCTCCTCAACAGGAATTAGTTTCCCAGAAACCGTCTATGTTTACCAGCAGGGACAAGGCTCTTGGATCAGTATGTTGAAGGATGGAGAGGGGCAATGACACAGGGGATGACTGTGGAAGAGAAGCCTTGTTGACTTCACAATTTTTCCAAGAGTCAGTGCTCACTGGAGTCAAGAGATGCCCAAATGGGGAAGCAATGCCAATCAGGTCAGCTGAACTAAAATTTCTGTACAACCCTGAGAAGGCATGACAAGGGGAGAGTAGGGAAAAGCCTACTTACATGCCATGCTGTACATGTAAGACTAACAGCCAGGACGCACCTAATAAAGCCACATGCCAGTGCAGCTTAACATAGGTCACCAAGCCAGTTAACAAGTTCTTCCTGAGGACTGAAAAGATCGAGGCTTAATAACTCCAAATATCACCCAAGGGAAAGAGAATACCCAGGACCACCAGTAAATTTATATTTTAATTTCTCCTTTTCTTATAAATCATCTACAATTCTAACCCCCCTGACAATACTTACTGTAATAACTGTTCCAAGGCAAGGACATGGAAAGAAGAGAGAAAAAGATTAATGAGGATGAAGAAATATCTGTCTCCCACCACCAGGGACCATGAATTGCAGTTTCCCACTCCTGTGGCTTATTCATAGTCACCTCTAAGCCCCAGTGAGTCAAAAATACCTCAGTGCACCACCCTCAAGTTTCAGTCATAATAATGTCCCAAAAGACCAAATACGGAGTTTAATTAAAGTGATGCCACTATGAGCTTCTTGGGATTCTTTCCAGCAGGGCAGGGAAAGAGACTGATTAGCTGAGGCACTGCGACCCATCACTCTGCCATCAGAGCCTCACCAGGGTACTCCTCGCACCCACCTCCCAAAGCAGAGAGCTTTAAGCCAGGCACTTTCTGTCTGCCCTCTGCATCCTTCCTCCTGCTGTAACCAAACCTCCCATGCTCTGCACTCCTGCTCATTGTAATGGGAACCCCTCGGAAAGCACGGTTCAATTATTTATCAGAGAAAATGACTGTGGCTCTCATGTCACTGGGGAATGAACTAGCTCTCCTCCTGATGACGGCCCAGTTCATTAGGTACCTTCTGAATTTGGGAGTTACACCAATTTCTGACAGATGCCACACTGCCATTTTTGAAGAGTAAATGGGGCTATCAAACACCATAACTCTACAACTGAAACTAAGACTGAAATGAGAAAAATTGAAATGTAAGGAATAAGATCCACTATGAACAGAAGTAACCCAAAAGATTGTCAGTAATTTCCCCAAACCCAGTGAAAGATACTTGAACAGAAGCACCAGGTTAAGATTATAACTAATAATTGCCCTGTCATCAGCCTCAAGAAAATTATGTTAACAAATAAGGAAATGATGGATATAATATCTATCAAAGGGAAGTCCAAAGACTTTGGTAGAAATTTTCCAGCATGTCATGGGAGCAGGAGCCCCAGCCTAAGCATGTAGCACATCTAGCAGCTCCATCCTTAGAGTGCAGACAGCAGAGTCAGGATGGCATGGTTTGGTGACACTGACCAATGAGCTTCTCCAACTAACCACTTTACTCTGAATCCATGTTCTCTAAGAAACCCTCTCCTTCTAGTTTGGCTTCTGTAGAGACAGAATGTGCTAATAAATGGACTCAAGAATCTGATCACTTAACCAAGTGAACAGTTTTTACTACATGTTGGTATTCTGATTATAATTTGGTTTTTCATGTAGAAGAACCCACAAGAAAAGAATGTCTTGATCAGCAAACAAGACTATATGATTTCATTACTAATTCTGTATTTTAATATAACTTCATAGGTTGGCATTTGGGGTTTTTATCTATTAGTCTTTGTGAGACTCTGAGAAACAAATCCACTCAGTTCTAGTAAATTGGGTTTCTGAACCCACGAGGGTGATGACCCTCCCTGACATTTAATGCCAACTTAGGTGACCAAACAAACTGCCCCAAGCCTTCTCTAGCCCTCCCAGCCCCTCTAAACTCTTCTGCATTCCCTTTTCTTCAAACTGCAAACATAAGTACATGGGAAACTCTTTGTAGTTAGAAAATATGGCTTTCCAGATAAGACTAATAAAGTATTTTAAAAGTATGGCTTGGTGATACTGTATCCAGCCAAGGGCTAAGGTTTGAGGGAAAGGTACCAGGAGAAACAGGAACATTTCTTTCCCTCTTCCCATTTTCATTCACAGATCAACCCCTTCTTACCCCCACTTCATGTCTCAACCCATCAGCTTCAGGAGAAAGAGACAGAGATAAATAAACTAAGAGAACAAAAAGAACTGATGATGAGTAGGGAATTCCAAATCTGTCTTCATTCCACTCACACTAGGGTTAGAGCATTCTAAAATGCATGGGCAATTTTTCTCCTTGGTCCTTTATTCATCTTACCTCAAGCTTTGATCTACATCGGTCAAGCTATTTGAATTAATAATCTTTCTCCTATCAGCCCTTAGAGGGAACTGGAGAGTAGCCTTCCTTGCCTCTTTATATCTATTTTTTTTGTGTGTCAGGGTCTCACTCTGTCACCCAGACTGGAGTGCAGTGACATGCTCACGGCAACCGCAGTCTCGATCTGCTGGGCTCAGGCGATCCTTCTGCCTCAGTCTTCCAAGCAGCTAAAACTACAGGCACGCACTACCACGCCTGGGTTATTTTTATTTATTTATTTGTTGTAGAGACGAGGTCTCACCAGGTTACCCAGGCTGGTCTTGAACTGCTGAGCTCAAGCAATCCTCTCACCTTGGCCTTCCAAAATACTGGGATTATAGACTTGAGCCACCATACCTGGCTATATCTCTTATTTTAAGAGAGCAAGTCTAAGACTCAACATATTACTCTGTATGAAGGTGGATCTTGCCTACAAGGACAGTACCCACTGAAGAAGCCAACCTTCCCCTCTCCCTACTCCCTATATTTACAAATTTTTTTTTTTTTTTTAGTTGGAGACTCACTCTGTCACCCAGACTGGAATGCAGTGGCCGCTCCCGGGAGCGGACCCGGCCGCAACCTGCTGGGCTCCGGGGATCCTTCCACCTCAGCCTTCCAAGTAGCCGGAATTACAAGCATCCGCTACCATGCCTGGCTGATTTTTTGATTTATTGTAGAGATGAGGTCTCGCCAATTTGCCCAGGCAGGTCTCGAACCCGTGGGCTCAGGCAATCCACTCACCTCAGCCTCCCAAAGGCGCAGGATTACAGGCTGAGCCACTGAGCCCGGCTTTATATTTACAAATTACATTTTTCTTTTCTTTCTTCCTTCCTTCCTCCCTCCCTTCTTTTCCTTTTTTGTCGAGGATCAATATGTGAACTAACATTTAATGTGTAGAAAAATGCCCATGTCAGCTGCAGCATATTCTCCCCAGAATTACAAAGAGGACAGTAGCATCATTCAGCTGGCACAAGCTATGTGCCCAGAACCCTGCCCCGGGCATGGAGACATCCACGCTATCTGTTTGCCTCCTTTATGTCAAGTTGGCTAAGGTTCTTACAATACTCACTGCAACTCAATGTTCTTAGACATCAAGAAAATTCACCTTTGGCCCTAGACCAGCCACACCCAGCCACACTGCACACTGTCTTTTAAGAACATGTATGGGGCAGGGTGTGGTAGCTCAACATGTAATCCCAGCACTTTGGGAGGCTGAGGTGAGGGAACTGCCTGAGCCCACGGGTTTGAGAACAGCCTGTGCAACTTGGCGAGACCTCATCTCTACAATAAATTAAAAAATTAGCCAGGCATGGTAGCATGAACCTGTAGTTCCAGTTACTTGGAAGGCTGAGGCAGAAAGATTACCTGAGCCCAGCAGGTTGACACTGGGGTGGCCGTGAACATGCCACTGCACTCTAGCCTGGGTAACAGAGTGAGATTCCAACTCAAAAAAATATATAAAAGAACATGTATGCATGCCTCATTTCCAAGAATTTAACAGCTTCTTGTCCAATGCTTAGGGAGTAGGAATGTTAGCATTTTCAGCTACAGCAATATAACTAAGTGTTACACAGCTCAGGTCCCACTAATGACTGTGCATCTCCTGATACAAGGTTCCTGAACCTGTGTGGGGCTACCAAGGATTAGAAAGAGCAATGTCCCTATGTTCTAGACTTCAGTCATTCTCTAAGTCCACAGGATAAGGATCACATGGGTCACATAAGGATCACATCCTCATCAGATGCAGTCTAGGGAGTGCCAGCTCTTAACAAATAAAGCAAATGAAGTAGTACAGGTAAGCAGAAGCTGGAAGGAGGGTACCACAACCAAGACTGTGCCAACAAACAGAAAGGCTGGCTGGAGGTAAAGTTACCCAACTCACAGACAAGTTCCAGGAGACCTCTAGGGCTCCCCGAGTATTATAAATCAGTACCAGCTTGAGCCCTCCAAGAAGTCTACTCCTAGATGGCCACTGAAACCTAGGAATCTAGGGTACCTACATAATCAACGTTTGTATACGTAACCCTGAATTGTACCCCATATCTTTATAATAATAAAAAAAAAAGAAAAAGAAGCCTAGGAATCTTGGAAAGCTTAAGAGTCTGAACTACTCAAAAACAAACAAACAAACAAAAAAACCCAGAATATTTCAACTAGAATAGAAAGTTCTCTGTAGAGGTTCAAATCTTTCCTTTCCTTTCCTTTCTAGAAACTCTAGACAGTAGGCCAGGCGCAGTAGTTCACACCTGTAATCCTAGCACCTTGGGAGATGGAGGTGAGAGGATTGCCTGAGCCTAGGGGTTCGAGACCAGCCTAGGTAACTTGGCAAGACCTTGTCTCTACAATAAATCAAAAAATTAGCCAGGAGTGGTAGTATGCACCTGTATTTCCAGCACTTGGAAGGCTGAGGTAGAAAGATCGCCTGAGCCCAGCAGGTTGAGGTTGCGGTGGCTATGAGTGTGCCACTGCACTCCAGTGTGGGTGACAGTGAGATTCTGACTCAAAATAAAGTAAAATAAAATAAAATAAGAAACTCTAGACAGTAGACTGGCCAAGGTTAAAAAGATAATTCCAGGTCAGGTGCAGTGGCCTATAATGCCAGCACTTTGGGAGGCCGAGGTGAGAGGATTGCCTGAGCCCACGTGTTCGAGACTAGCCCGGGCAACTTGGTAAAACCTCATCTCTACAAAAAATCAAAAAATTAGTCGGGCATGGTGGCGTGCGTCTGTAGTTCCAGTTACTTGGAAGGCTGAGGCAGAAGGATCACCTGAGCCCAGTAGGTCAAGGCATGAGTATGCCACTACACTCCAGCCTGGGTGATAGAGTGAGACTCCAACTGAAAAATTAAAAAAAATTCCAAGCCAATCCTCAACTCTAGAACATGCTGGTTCAGCATAAGCCATCAATTCAGAGCTCTTAACAGTGACACCCCTTATCTCTCGCTAAAGAATCTGCCACACACACTATATATACATAACATATTTTGAGGATATGGTTCTAATTACTGTTATTAAAAGTTGGAATTATTTCATGTTTTCCCAACCACATCAGGGTTTCCTTTTCTTAGTATCTAGGACTGATCCTTTCTCAAGGCAGGGAGGTCACTCTATAGGCTCTTTCCTAAGGCTGCTTCTCTCAAAAGTCCTGACCTCAATGTCACTTTTCAAGTCAAACAAAAATATATCACATTAAAACTGGAAAGTTCAGTATCTAACAATAAGGGAGTGGTTTAAAAAGCTCACAGTAAAATCATACAATGGAATACTATGCAGTCATATAAATTTTTAAAAATTGGCCAGGCATGGTGGCCCATGTCCATAATCCCAGCACTTTGGGAGGCTGAGGCGGGAGAACTGCTTGAGTTTTAGAATTCAAAACCAATGTGGGCAACATAACAGGATCTTGTCTTTATAAAAAATCAAAAAATTAGCCAGGCATGGTGGCACATGGCTATAGTTCCAGCTACTTGGGAGGCTGAGGCAGAAGGATCGCTTGAGTCCAGGAGGTTGAGGTTGTGGTGGCCTGGGCAGCAGAGTGAGAAGCCAACCCCTCAAAAATATATAGTATACTACCTAATGGCAGGGAAAATGTTCCCATTTACTGAAGAAAAAAGAGCAATTTAAAAATTAGTAATTATATAATCTAAAATTTGTCTAGAAAATGTGTCTGGAGAGGGAGTGTGTGTGTGTGTGTGTGTGTGTGTGTGTGTGCTTTAAACAAAGACTAGAAAAAATATGCTAAAATGTTAGATCATGCATGATTATTTTCTTCTACTTTTATTTATTTTCCAAAATATATAGAGAGAACATTACTTTTATAATCAGTAAAAACAGTCAAAAATATTTGGAGCTGGGTGCAGTGGCTCATGCCTATAATCCCAGCACTTTGGGAGGCCGAAGTGAGAGGACTGTCTGAGCCCATGGATTCGAAGCCAGCCTGGGCAACTTGGTAAGGCCTCATCTCTACAATAAATAAAAAAATTATCCGGGGGCGGTGGCGTGCACCTGTGGTTCCAGCTACTTGGAAAGCTGAGGCGGAAGGATTGCCTGAGCCCAGCAGGTTGAGGCTACAGTGGCTGTGAGCGTCCCACTGCTCTCTAGCCTGGGCGACAGAGTGAGACTCCTACTCAAAAAAAAATTATTTGGCGTTTTTTTTTTTTGATTCAGGTTCTCACTCTATCACCAAGGCTGGAGTGCAGTAGCACTAATCATGGCTCACTGCAGCCTGTACTTCCTGGGTTCAGGTGATCCTTCTACCTCAGCCTCTAGTATAGCTAGGACTACAGGCATGTGCCACCATGCCTGGCTGATTTTTGGATTTTTTTTGTAGAGATGAGTTCCTGCTATGTTGCCAAGGCTGGTCTTCAACTCCTGGGCTCAAGCAATCCTCCTGTCTCAGCCCCAGCCTCCCCAAGTGCTAGGATTATAAGTGTGAGCCACCATGTCCGGCCACAGTAAAAATTATGATACCATTCCCACATAAAATAGTTAGTTCTGTGCTACCTCAGACTGTGACTACTTGGTGGTTCTCACCCTGGTGACCACTGGGTTGTGCTGCTGATACCCACGATCAGCCTGAAGGGCGTACCTAATCTCATTCTTCCCCTGGCTTAATCTGGAAAATGAGGGTGGGACACAAAGCCCAGATGCACCCCACCATTGGGCCTATTTGACCACATTTTGTTCACCTTGAGGTCCAAACTCCAGCTTCGAGCCAAGTCTGCACTTACCGGTTCTGCAATAAGGGTAGGCATTCCATGCTTTTTCATGTATGTTCAGGGCTCCCTCTGGGGCCAGCATTCGAACAAAGGTGGGTACTTTGCTATAGCAAAAAAAAGAAGGGGGGGAGAAAAAGATTAAAGGGGATTATGAAAAGAAATAGAAGAGACAGAAGGAGGACAATAGGCTTTTTATCACATTCTTTAGGCCACAGATCCAACTTCTTTATGGGGAGTTGACAAGTTTCCATGAGATAAGCAGGTTACTATTATGTGGGAGAAGCCATATGTCAGAGCCTGACACCCCAGCTCAGCTGACTAGTAACATCCACTCACAATGTACCCCACTACCCACCAGGAATAGGACAGTATATGAGACCGTGGGCTACTTACTGTGGCTTGTCAGTCATTACAGCATCACACATTTTTCCAGAGCTCAACTGGCCCAGGACATTATACTACACAGTACAAAGGAGATATCTCCAAGCATGTATCAGTCTAGGTTAATGGGCCAATGTGACTGACTGACTAACTTGGAATATGGGATCCAAGATCTGATCTGCTTTCATTGGCTCTGAGGCCAAGAGGGCCCCAGTGCTATCTGCCTTCCAGGACAAATATTTTCTTCTATCAATTTTTCTTATCTTAGGTGACAGAACAACATGCATAGTATAAGCCCCTCACCCCTCTTTTTTTTTTTTAACGGTACATGGTTTAAATGACCATGGTAGGAAAAAGTTTAGAAAAGTAAAAATAAAAAGATACATATATTTTTCTTCCTTGGTTTTTACCTGATACAGTCTTCACAGGCTATACAGTCTTTAGCAGGTTCTAGCAACCCCATTAGCTTTAGTGCCTCAGGTCTTAGAAAAAAGAGCTGCTAGGCATGTGGCTCAAGCCTATAATCCCAGCACTTTGCGAGGCCAAGGCGAGAAGATTGCCTGAGCCCAGGGGTTCGAGACCAGCTTGGGCAAAATGGTGAGACCTCGTCTCTACAATAAATCAAAAAATTAGCCAGGCATGGTAGCATGCACTTGTAGTTTCAACTAATTGAAAGGCTGAGGCGGAAGGATCGCCTGAGCCCAGCAGGTCGAGGCTGCAGTGTCCATGAGTGTGCTACTGCACTCCAGCCTGGGTGATAGTGAGACTCCAACTCGAAAAAAAAAAAAAAAGAGCTGATTTCAGTAGAGAGCTAACTTAGGGCAGTCCTCTGCGATTCACTCACTCACTGCCACTCATCCATCGTCTCTGTGTGCCATGAATGGGAACACACACAGAAACCAGACAGATGTGGCTCCTACTCTCAAGGAGTTTACAGTTTAGTGGAGAGTAACTAACCAGGCAAAGGATAACAGTATAAGGATGTGTCCCATAATGGGGTAGGCACAGGACCCTGGAGGGCAAAGCACTGTGAGAAGAGGTGGGGAATGTCAAGACAAAATGAACAAATGGAAAGAGTAGAATTAAGCTGGAGTGGGCTGGGAAAAGCTGGGAGAGGGAAGTAGCTGGTGCAAGGTGTGAGGTGAGGAATATGACTTGCAGAAGTCATGTCCTGAAAGATCTTGTAAATTATGTCAGAGTATGGGTTTCATCCTGAGGACAAAGGGAAACCGTCTACTGTTTTAAAACTAACGAAGCCGGGCTCGGTGGCTCAGCCTGTAATCCCGCGCCTTTGGGAGGCTGAGGTGAGTGGATTGCCTGAGTCCGCGGGTTCGAGACCCGCCTGGGCAGTGAGACCTCATCTCTACAATAAATCAAAAAATCAGCCGGGCGTGGTAGTGCATGCCTGTAATTCCGGCTACTTGGAAGGCTGAGGTGGAGGATCGCCGGAGCCCAGCAGGTCGAGGCTGCGGTGGCCGGGAGCGGCCACTGCACTCCAGTCTGGGCAACAGAGTGAGACTCCAACTCAAAACAAACAAACAAAAAAAAACTAACGAGAGGCAGACCATATAGACAGAATACTTGAAGCTGTGCAGAGACCTGGAAAGCTGAGAGGCCAGTTAAGAGCTGCTGCAGTAACCTAGGCAAGAGGTGGCAAGAAATGGACATGTTAGAGATACTAAGGAGACAGAGTCAACAGCACTTGACTTGATATGAGGGCTGAGAAAGAATGTGGTGGTGAGCTTATGTTTCTGATTTGAGCAATTAGATAGCTGACACAGTGAGGCTTCCCTTGTCTTCATGAAGAGGCAGGGATGGCAGTCACTGTCAGCTTTTTTTTTTTTTTTTGCAGTTGAGTGTTTTGGTGATAAGGAGCGTGGGGTAGCAGCCCAATGTTTACACTCTCTCTTGCAAGGAAGAAGGCAAGACAGGTCCCACCCTCTACATATACAGACCTCATCTCTGCTACTTTGGTTGGACCAACTGAGTCTTGAGGAATCAAATGGTCCCTTCGGCTTAAAATACTAACCTCAAGTCTTTTCAAAGTCCTCTTTAAAAAATACCAAAACTAAGCCGGGCTCGGTGGCTCAGCCTGTAATCCTGTGCCTTGGGAGGCTGAGGTGAGTGGATTGCCTGAGCCCGCAGGTTCGAGACCCGTCTGGGCA